AATCTCCATCACCTGCGGGCTTTCACATTGAGCAGCATTAACTACACAGAGCCGTTGTTCACTGATGAGCTGCGCAAAACCCTTCATATTCGCGCGATTTTTTGTACAGCTCGTCAGTGAACAACGGCTCTGTGTAGTTAATGCTGCTCAATGTGAAAGCCCGCAGGTGATGGAGATTTACCGCTGATTACAGAACCGGCTTTACTGATAAGATGCGCGTTAAATATCGCATGCGCTTTATCGTGCAGCCCTATACAATACAATACAATGCTTTGGGTTTCATACGTTGTAAAAGCATCACTAAATAGAAATAGAAATAGCAGACATACAACATCACCGATTGATCACCGAGCACCTACACAATTTTGTGATTTGATGTATTAAAGTTCTCTATGCTTTACAAATGCAGATTATGCTCACATATGACCTGGATTGTTTTCAGCAGTGCATTACATGCACACCATAAGAAAGACATGATTCTCCAGAGCAACAAGGTAGTGGGACCACTACTATAATGAACAGCACTCATGATTAATGATAAATCACAGCCATGGTTTAGGTTTGGTCACAACTGAACACAAAAAAAAAAAAATTTGAACACAACCATCTTGTTACAAAGCAGAAGTCTGTATATGCAAACAAGCCCTGCAGTAAACAGATAGCAAAAACAATGCACACATTCAGTACACAAGTAGAATGTCAGAATCTCAGTCTATGCTGTCTTTGCAATGCTTTTCCACAGACTGCAGCCCTGGTTTTGTGTATAGGAGCAGTCGTCTACTAGAGGCACTGACTGTTTGCTTTGGTGCAGCAGGTCTAGTTTTAGCAGTATTAGTGGCATGGATTAAAGTGCTGGACTACTGTACTCTTGATTTATAGCCACTGGGATGTAGTTTGGTTTGAAGGTTGCATAGTAGAATCTACATTCAGAAGAGTGACCTAAACAGAGCTTTCGGATCGTGTCTCATAGTCCTGCACTTGCACCAAAATATATTTAAGTTAGTTTAACAGAACAGCATTATTGAAGCAAATTTCACATTCATTTTTAACGGCCAACAGAGTCATAACGCACAAATTATCTACAAATACTGGTTTAGCTCTTCAGTTTGTGATCTTGGTCCGATCTGTCCATTCAGATGGTTTTGCACGGTCTCTCTGAGGATCTAAATAGATGTAGTTTTGGTCACCAGGCAGAAGAGGGCAGTGTTGAAGCCGGGGCTCACCCTTGCTCCAAACTTTCAGTCACCTGAACAGCCGAGTAAGTGGGAGGCTGCGCCTGTCGCGTGAAGAAAGAAGCAGCTCTTTTGGGCTTCAGACGTTTAATCTCTTTGCCTGAAACAATGCAGGTAAATTAAAATGAGCTTTGTCCCAGTTTATTATTTCTCTATTGTTGATGATAAAAGTTAATGGGCAGAACAACTGAACACCAAGTGCATCCATCGCACCAATGCAATTTTAGTCTCTTACCGTCATCAACATAGCTGATGGTGTTGAGTGAATGGACTCGGCTACAAACCACGCTGCTCTGTCTGCGCAGTTTCCCCTGCCGTCGCTCTCGGGTTTTCGCATTGGTTTCCCGACCCGTAGGTTCTTGGGAAGGTGTGACCTCACCGTCAGTACCAGTGGCTGCTGACTCGCCAACAGAGTGTAACTCCACACAAAACTCAATAAGACCACTCATTAGCTCAGCCTAGAGGACAAAAAGTGTACTGTTATGCATATGTAATACAAGTGTATATACATAGAGTAAATATGTAATACATAAGTATATCATGAAAATTTATACATGCATACATAATTCATACATAAAACCGTTCTAAAGTTTGGGGTCAGTAATCAAAAATATAGTAAAAACAGTAATATTGTGAAAAATTATTACATTTACAACAACTCTTTTCTATATAAATGCAATTTATTCCTGTGATGGCAAAGCTGAACCAGCATCATTACTCCAGTCTTCAGTGTCACCCAATCCTTCAGAAATCATTCTAAAATGCTGATTTGTTGCTCAATAAACATTTCTTATTAAGCATTTCTCAAGAAAAATATCTTATGTTGAAAATAGTTGTTCTGCTTAATATTTTTGTGGAAACTATGATACATTTTTTGAGGATTCCTTGATAAATAAAAAGATGAACAGCATTTATTTGAAACTTTTGTTACATTATAAATATTTTAGGTCTCTTTTGACCAATTTAATGTATCCTTGAATGAAAATATTAATTTGTTTGATAAAATATATTTATGAAAATTAATTAATTTGATAATATTAAAATGCAAAAATTATAATTTTATTGCATTTTAATATTTTATTGCTCTAATACATTTTTAATATATGCTTGCTTACACTGTCAAACACAACAACATAAGTCATTGTGTGCTCACCTGTTTTGAATAAATCTTTAATAATTTATTGACAGGCACACCAGCCTCCTCCCCATCAAACTCCAGCCAGAGGATGTGTGTGTCTCCCTCTGTCTCTGGGTAACTGTGATCCCAGGAAAGCTCACTGAACTTGAGACCCAGGAGGACATGCTTCTCTTTCACATCCATGACATATACTCCTTCCAGACTGATGCCCACACTCACAGCCTTATGGCCACCTCTGTGAAGGAGGCCCTGTGCTGGCTTGTCTATCTCACCCATGAAGAAAGCACATCTGCAAAAATACACACATGTAAGGCTCAGACACTTCATATTCGAACAACTTTCCACTTGCAGTAATAGTACCCATAGTAAGGTAGAGTGTGGCAGCTCCTGAGGTACTGGCGCAGCAGAGCGATGGGCTCCTGACTGGAGCCAGTGGCAGCAGAGGAGCAGACTGAACGATACTCCTTTATAAGATTTTGCTCCATCTCTGCATTCCTCCCTCCTCTCCCCCTCAGTGTGGATAGAAAACCTCCTCCTCCTAATGCAGCGTGGGCCGGTAAGAATGAGGACAGCTTCTTCTCTCTGGAATAATATTACAGGTAGAAACTGAAATTAAATTACAGCAAATTAGTCAATAACAAATTATACTGTAATAGTCAACTAATTAATTCTAGGACAGGATTCCCAAACTGGGAGGCTGATGAAAAGCTAATAATTAAATTTGTAAAGTTTTGTTCCCCTTTTGTAAGTTGCTTTGGATAAAAGCATCTAGTAAATGCATAAATGTAAATGCAGTAAATTATGCATAATTAAAGCAAATAACCCTAAACCAAACCCTAATTCTACATGTTGTTAATTAACATTACGCTGAACTTATTTGTGTCAATACCTCAAAATAAAGTGTAACCAAACATTGAAAATAAAAAAAAATGGACAAAAAGGGAAGTGAAACCTCAACTTTACATTAACCATCTGATCCCTGATGTAGGAGCAGAGAAGGTCACCTGATTGCTGCTGTTAGAGCCTGGTCATCAAGCCCAGTCCCCAGCTCAATGGCACAGGACAAAGCTCCCAATCTCAGCCAGTCTTCAGGGTCACAGGGGTAATGACCCTCCAAGATATTCATCTTGGCCTCGTCATAAAGTAGCCTCAACACTCCTTCATCTTCAATCTGACATTACAAAATAAAGATGTTACACAACATAAATTCACATCATGGAATCACAAAATGAATTTTAAAATGCATTCATTTAATATATCATTAATTACATTTCTGTTAATAAATTAAAAAATCAGCTTTGCCATAATTGCTAAAGATATCTTAGCCTACATGGGTCTTCAAGTCAAAACGCTTGAAAACCACAGTCTTACAGGGTAATGGCAGTTTATGGTAAAGCCTGGTGCACACTGGACGTCTGAGGTAAACATCGGGAATTGTAAAAGATTTTGCTTGTCTATATGATTGATATGTCACATAAATCTCTTTGGGACGTTTTATGTTATGATCACTCTTAATGATAAGCAGTCCATGACCTCCACTGGCCAGTCTAATAACTCCAGACACAAATACTCAATCAGGTCCAAAGTCTTTGATACAGTGTTGCACAGTCTGACATGCAAGGCATTTGACACTGTGCATGTGCCTTGGCTTTTGTGCAAGATCTCTCTGGGGTCATATTGCATATTAATCTGACAAGCAAACCTCTTAGTAGACAAAGAAAAACGCAAAGTGTGCACTGGGCTTAAAGGGATAGTTCACCTAAATGTGTCATCACCTCATGTTGTTCCAAACCTGTATGACTTACTTTCTAAAGTAAAATAAAAAAAAAGGTATTTTGAAGAATTTCTCAGTGTCCATATAATGAAAGTCACTGGGGTCCAACACTGTATTGAACCCTATTAACTTTAATTATATGGACAAAAGACACTGAAAAATTCTTCAAAATATCTTCATTTGTTGTGCAGTTGACTGTGTTGGGCCCCACTGGCCTCCGAAAGGAAATAAAGTCATACATAAGTTTGGAAATACATGAGGGTGAGTAAATAAGAGAATCTTCATTTTTCCCAACAAAAAAAAAAACTTTCAATACCTGAAGTTCTTTTGACCTGGAATAAAAAACATTTCTTTTGAACAGAAGACACGGCTCATCTGAAAAATACAGAAATGTGTTATTGATAAACACCTAAACTTTCAAATGTAAAAAATTAAACACAAGCATACCTTGAGAAATGTCTTCTGCGGGGGCCTCAGTAAAGCGGTACAGCAGGTCCTGCCACTGACGACACAGCTTGTAGGGCAAATGTTTCGGTTTCAACTGCAGGTCTGTTCAAACATATCACAACAAAATGAGACTAAAGGTGGGAAACAATAAGAAGGACTCCATAAAAAAATATGATGATAAAACGCTAGGGCGGATTTCCTCTGTTAATCAATAAGACTGTATGTCTAACTAAAGGTTGGAACAGAACACACAACTTTTGACCAGAATTTTGCCCCGATTTTCAGTCTGGATGAGCTGATAGTAGTAGCCGAAAGTCGGTGCCAGTCTGCAGATTTTGGGCAGTAAGAGTTGACAGATTACAGTTTTTTCTTTTTGCATATTGCTTTCATTTGTCAGGCGTCTCATAGAAATGAGCTGCATGTTTCTGTGCGAGTTTGTGTTTGGATCCATTTGAAATCTGGTAGCGTGTGATCCTCAGTTGTTAAGTATGCGATGCACAGTTTTTCTTTGTAGCTATTACAGAATTGGCAAGTATATGATGCCTAGTGTTTTAAAATCTGTACCGATTATAAAAGTCATGTAGTGCATTCCAGACCTTAATAAGTAAAAAGCTGCCCTTGTTTAAAAAGACATCAAATAATCCACAAATGCCAGCAGGTGGCACTGATGCCCTCAGGACTTCCTGATGTACCCTCCTAATGCTTCACTTGCAATTCAGCCACAGAGATTGTAAATGCCATCATTGTGCTTGCCCTTCTTCATAACCTAATTACAAAAAGCTCATAGATTCTGTATCAGTCTGACATCTGACCAGAGCACAAAAGAACGATCATTACCAAGCAAAGGAGAGCAGAACCAGAAAGCGAACACATCTACGGCAGAGTTGGGAATGTTGAGGGCTTCTCGGACATTGCGGCCGAGCTCCTGCGCATTCATACAGCCGAGACCCTCCAAAGTCAAGTGCACCGCACTGTCGCTCGCCAAGTACACCAACAAATCCTGAGCTGGAGAAACACAAGAGGGACAAATGATCATGTGAGGTCAACAATGATCAGATCACGACCTCCAGTCCAGTGACATCAGATCCAGAGAGGAACAGAGAACCGACCTCTGGTGACTGAGGAAGCCACACTTCCTCGCTGGGAATGAGAGTGCTCTGATGGATCAAGGGGGAAGTCGCCATCATCTCCCTCCATCTAATCCAGAAACAAACACAAGTACTGAGTAGGAAACACAAAGCATTTTTATTTAAGAGACTTCTGCTAATTGTTATTGGTATATTCTGTACAAACTAAGCATAAACTGAAGAAAAACTCATCAGTTGGATAGTAGTTTTCAAAGCAAAATTATCCGTCATAAGCATAAACAAGTTTGAATAAATACTGAAGGCTAACGCAGCAACTTTTAAGTTCCTGAAGTATTGTATGTTTTACAGTTTGCTTTCGCTATTTGTACCCTAAACATCACCTTGTTTACTATACTTTATTAAAATACGGTAATATTATCAAAAAAGTAGTGAATTAAAAGAAAAAAAGAAATACAGCTGACGTCCCTATTCTGACTTGCTAACGTTAGCTAACTTAGCTACTCCAGTAACTGGCCGGACACCAAACTACATACAGCAACATACCGAGACACTGTCCTTCGTTTCAGAAGCTTCTTTCTCGATCAAAACAGACTGAAAGCATCAATATTTGGGGGGATTAAGTTACATAAAAAGCTGAGAGTATGACGGCAGCAGCAGCGCAGCTGGGATAATGTTCTTCAAACAGTGCCCACCAGTGAAATCAGCAACAACCTGGAAGAAGCTTCATGCCTGTAGAAGCGCCGCACTTTTACTCGCCAAAAGAGGGCGCACTACAGCCCAAAATGCCGTTTTTTCAGTTGACACTAGGAAATGTAGTAAATGTATCCCCAACAACACATGAATAAACTTGAATGCTTTATAGTAGCGATGTATTTGCTTTTAATAAATATAAAAAATTCAAAACAAATAAAAATGAAAACCAAAACATGCTTTACACCTAAAACATTTGGATAAAGATATTTAAATTATATTCTAAATTACGAGGCAGTTACTGGTCGTCATTAATTCATATATGACTTATATTGAATAAAATAACAATTTAATGTCCGCGACAAGGGTTAAACTGATGAATTCACATTTGGTCTCTGCTGATTCATAAATTAAATGGGCTTCATACTAGAAGCGTCTCATCTCCTCTCTAGGTTTTAATTATTTCTGTGCGGCGCCAACGCCAAGTCTGTTAGTGGTCCACGTGATTCATTCTCATCATTGCCATGAGTTAATGCCATCTGCTGCTGCTTTCGGTTGCATAAACTAAATAATAATGATGTTTTTGAAGTTATTTTAATAGTCATTGCATATAGCCTAGTTGCATTTTGAATTGTAAATCATACATTGTTATTCCATTCCATTACACGTTGTTTTTTACTATGGTGTTTTGGGGGAAATTAAGTCTATTAGGGGAATAAGGGGATCTACTATTGTTTTGTTTAGGACACTATACCACCACATAAAGAAAGAGCATAGTCTTTTACTGTACTAACAGTTTCTCATTGATCTGCCCATGGTAATGAGTGAATTCAGTCGCTAATCATACATTTTGTGGACAGTGATCTATTATATGTGTTCCAGGAAGCACTTAAGTCCGCTAAAAGAAACATTTTCACCCTCCTAAAATCCTAAACTTAAGGCCTACCCTACCTCAACAGAAATATTTTTTCCTGGAAGAAAAAATAAAATGGCAAAACACGAACAGATCAAGATAGTATTTTATTTAACAGTGATACATAGATTAACAAGGTTGCTCATGTCAATCATACTGAACGAGTGTTCTTGCTACCCAAAAAAACAAATAAACAAAAAAACAAAGAATCCACAAACTTCATCACTACATTCATTGTACGATCCACTTTAATGAAACTGTTTTTTTTTTTTGCATTATTTATTTTTCTCACTGTGACAACTTTGGGCAATGTTTTTTTTACATGATTCAGCAGGGCACTTGACTGACAGAAGGCTCTCCCACATGAAGGGCAAATGTATGGCTTCACTGCTGTATGAATTCTCTCATGTTTTTTCATAGATCCTGACTGCGAGAAACTCTTTCCGCAGTGTGAACACTTGTAAGGTTTCTCTCCAGTGTGAAGTTTTTGGTGGTCTTTCAAGTGGCTGGCTAAATTAAAGGAACTCCCACACTCAGCGCACACATGTGCTCGCACATTGGCATGTAATTTCTGGTGCTCTTTAAAATGGTCCATGCGTGAATAACTCTGTCCACAAATGGAGCACAAGTATGGCTTATCATTTGTATGGATTCTCATGTGTCTCTTCAGGTGTGCTGCAAACATAAATATTTTGCCGCACTGATCACAGTCAAACACTCTTTCTCCAGAGTGAGAGAGCCGGTGATCTCTGAGATTTCTTGGATCTGAGAAACTCTTGCCACACAGATGACATTCGAAAGGCTTCTCTCCAGAGTGAATCCTAAAGTGAATCCCAAGGTTTCCTTTTTGTGTAAAGTTCTTTCCACACTGAGGACAGGGGAACATTTTTTGGGGCTCGTGTTTTGTTGTTTTCAGGCTGTGAGCAACTGGAAGACTTTTGTTCTGTTATCAAAAAATGAGCACATCATTTGTCAATTGTCTAAAAATGAATTCAAGTATGAAATTAAATAAAGTGGAAGGCTTTTATGAAATCTCTGCCATTCTCAAGTTCCATACATTGTGTATTTATTATGGTACATCTTTGCTTTTATTATGACCACTTAAGCTTTGCTAACTTAATGTAAGAAGTTTAGAGAATATCAAGAATGGACACCAACCTGGCTCTTCAGTATCTTTATTTTTCCTTCTTCGTGGTTCTGGATCACTCCTGCACCCACTTTCCATTCTTGTAATACGCACTGTTGTCTCTGTTGATTTGTTCTAATGTAGAATGGTCGTATTGATCATCATGGCTTTTAGTAGTGAACTGCTGTGGGAGTGGCTTGAATCGCGATCGCAAGGTGTGAATTGGAGATATTCGAAACGTTGAGTAAATTGTTCTTCAGACCATTTTTACATAAAATATCACAATCAGTTCAGTGCAATCATTTAAATAAGAATGGATGTTTACATGGCTGTAGGAATGATCAACAATGTGTGTGTGTGTGTTGGGGCAGGGACCATTTTGACCCAAACCAGCAGTTTAAGTTTACTTTTAAATAATCGATTAGTTTTAAATGACTGAGCAGTAAATAACATTTGTTTAAATCATATTCAATTTATTTCTATATAATTATATATATATATATATATATATATATATATATATATATATTTGCAATTATATTTAAATTACTACAAAAATTACATTAGTATTTTAATTTAAACGATTTTTTTATTTTTTTTAAAAGAGCAACAAAATAAAAAATAAATGGATGGTTATTGCGTTCTTAACACACCATACTCAATAAATAATAATAAAAGCTAGCTAGCAGTCCCCAGCCGTGTTTTCTCAATAATAATTAAAGCCTCTAAAATACACTGTTCACTCAAAAAAAAAAAGAAAAAGCTATTATCATTTACTTACGTCGTTACAAACCTGTATGGTTGACTTTCTTCTGTGGAACACAAAAGCAGATATTTTCAAAAATGTTTCTGTTCATACAATGAGATCAAATGATGATGATCCCATTGACTTGAGATGAAAACATCTTCAAAATATTTTGCGTTCTGCAGGTTTGGAGCAACATGTGACATCCATTCTAGTAGCAATAAACTACCCTTCTAAGCTCCCTTTATATGGGATAATAAACACAAACAAAAATTAAAGTAGAAGCAAATGAATACACACAAAACAAGTTTATTTTCACAGAACCACAGTAAAACTCCATATGAGAATGTTGGAGAGTCCCTGCTTTACCATGCTGATCCCAGCAATGACCACTCAACCACCTGATCTTCTTGAAAGCATGAACAAGAAACGGCACCGCTTTAGCGAGTTGCGAATCCCAGTTCATTGTTTAGGAATTGTCATATGATTGGGTCACTTGTGAAAGTTAACAGCTTTCAGTTAACCAGTGATCTGGACCATTTTCACCTTCATTTTTCAGGCAAGTACCTGAATCAGTGTGTGCCTGTGCTTTAATCTTATTTTCAAACACAACGAAAATATGGGAAGAGCCATGAATGTTTCTTTGTTAAACAACAGTAATGAGTTCAAACTTTATTGAGCACCATGTAGGAGACAGTCTGTCATTAATTTCCACAGTGGCCACCTCTACACAGTACTCATCAGTGTCCAGTCCTGCTCATCACTCTCCCTGAGAACATACGACAGTGATCTAACAGCACCCGCTGCCTGACTGCTGCACCGGGGTGCTTTCAATTTTAAGATCAGGTTTCTCTGAACCGCCCGAAGTCCCTGGTCTCATGCGCTTCTTTATCTCCTCTGCCATGGTCATGAAGGCCTGCTCCACGTTCGTGGCATTTTTGGCACTCGTCTCAAGGAAAGGGATGCCAAGAGAGTCAGCGAACTCCTGAAAAAATGTGTGGGAGAAAGAAAACCAATCTTTGTGTTTTCAGTTAAAGTATAACTATAAAGTGTTTGGTGTAGAAATGACATAGCTTACCTCACCAATGGATCCTCTGCAGTGAATGGGTGCCGTCAAAATGAGAGTTTGATAAAAACATCACAATAATCCACAAGTTATCCAACAAGACAACATTTTCACTGAAGGAAGCATTATTATGGATTATGGACTAGTATTTTGCCAGAAGCAACAATTTAAAAGTTAAAACATCTTGAAGGGAGTTTCACTTCAAAAGAAATGAATGGATGGACTGGAGTCCTTGTGGATTACTTGTGGATTATTTGTGGCTGTTTGGACTCTCATTCTTACGGCACCCATTCACTGCAGAGGATCCACTGGTCAGCAAGTGATATAATGTTAAACTTCTCCAAATCTGTTCCAGTGTAGAAACAAACTCATCTACATCTTGGATGGCCTGAGGGGGAGTTCATTTTCAGCAAATTTGCATTTTTGAGTGAATTATTCCTTTAACTAGTTTAAAAAGGAAGTTCATTAGTTCCCTGCCAACCAACCTTAGCTGTAGTGTAGTCCACAACTTTTTTTGGAGTGAGGTCACACTTGTTTCCTACAAGTAGTTTGTTGACATTCTCACTTGCATAGCGATCGATTTCTTTCAGCCACTGTTTCACGTTGTTGTAGGATTCCTGAAAAGACACCAGCATTAAACTTTTAAGAATGTGTACCGTTTCGATTACATTTGAGAGGTAAAACTTCCTTTTAAACAGTAGCCATAAATGTTTCAAGTACAGATGTGATTTTGTTAGAAAGGAGTCTCACAAACCTGATCCGTAACATCGTACACAACAATGATCCCATGAGCTCCTCTGTAGTAGCTGGACGTAATCGTGCGGAATCTCTCCTGTCCAGCAGTGTCCCACTGTAAACATGGACATGACTCATTTAGCTGAAGTATCCCATTAAATGACACACTTAAGTTGAATTCTAAAGTCTACAAACTCACTATCTGCAGTTTAATAGTTTTCCCATCCAACTCAATAGTTCGGATCTTGAAATCCACTCCGATTGTGCTGATGAAACTCTCTGTGTAGGTGTCATCCTGGAAAAGAAAAATCAATCATATTTTAACCACACACGGTCAGAGATCATTCATATCCAAAAGATGCTGTTGCAAAAAAAAACAAACAAAAAAAAAACACTTACTGCAAAACGCAATAGAATGCAAGATTTTCCAACTCCAGAATCTCCAATCAGAAGAAGCTTGAATAAGTAGTCACTGTGGAAGTATGCAAAAACAAATAGTTTTAAAACAGTTCTGAGATCTTCATTTTATATATCAAATATATTCTCTAACTCATATAATACTAATATTAAATATTATATAGTTCTATTTATAATTATTTAATAATAATAATAATTAAAAAAATAAAGTTAAATACATAATATACAAATATATCTATCATACATACGTTTTTTTTTTTTACAGAGCAACTATTGTGCAGTCTGCAACCATGACAACTGCTTTACGTAACAAGCGTAACACAATACTATTTGCTATTTAATTATTATATAAATTGATCAGCAACTGCATATGAATTTTGGTTGACCTGCCAACGAAAGGTTAAAGGAAATTATGAGGCGGTCATAAATGTTTATAGTTCTCACGACTTACTATTCAGGGTTCATGATGTGACAGCAAAGGGATTGTTATTGTTTGTCCAGCTGGTTGAAGCGCTCTGGGTCGCCTACTGTTCACCGGCTGAGCGCAAATTCTGAGCCAGTATTTAGCCTGGAATAGTAGCAATAAAAAGAGGATCTGAGTTTTGATAAGCCTCTGTGGACCGTTTCCAGACCTCCTTATAAAATCAACCCAATCTGACTTTACGCCTCTTCTCTCCTCTCTGGTTTTACAAGCCGCGCAGGTGCGGCAGTGACGGATGATGATGATGATGATGATGCGCCACTATTCTTACCCGCTTTCGCCGCCTAGTGGTGGGATCCATGCATATGTAATTTTGTGCATGTTTGTGCATAAATATGTTGATTTTGTAGATGAGCTGATATATACATGGATCAAACGTGTATCTGTGTGGTGTTGGACCCTCGGGGCCTCCAGCCTGATGTAAAATAAATAATATATATGCACATTTTTAAATTTGTAATTTACATTATAAGCTATATGTGTGTGTGGGTTTATCCCCCTCCTATGTTTTATGCAGAAAAACCATAGATTAAAATTCAAACAGCATCAAAATTTATTGAATAAAACACCCTAAATCTTACAATAGGAATGAATTACACATTTAATTATCAAAAAGAGTACAGACAGACAAAATACTTTTTGTATATCTATAAAACAGCCCATAAATATTTTTCATTTTGAGTTAGCTTTCAAGGTTTAAAACACAAAGATACAGAATGGGTACATTTTATATAAAAAGCCTTATATAAAAAGCCCCTTTTCAAAAGGTATTAAACCTCTAAAGGCACTGCAATGCAAAATAACTTTATCAATACATTCATTTGGAGACATATATTGTCTGATAAAACATCAGAGAATATAATTTGCAGCTAATACAAGACAACAGCCCAACAGAGACATGTTGGCATACCAGGAAACAACACACTTAAATAAATAATGTAAAAACAGCAAACTTTGGCGCAAGTCTCTTTGTCTGTTCGATACATCTTAAAGACAGTCAAATCATCTTAATCTTAAACATTTCATTTCCAAAAAAACAACAACAACAACAACAAAGGAGAGAAAACCCTGCTCACTGCTGCAGCTTGAAAGAAATATATTATTTATTGTGTAATGTTTTATTTTCTTCAGGAAAAAAAAAATCCTGACTAAGGTTGTGTGACAGAAGTCTCAATAAATATTGGATTTGTTGCAACCTACAAATGTGTGCAGAATTTTCCCCTTTTCTTCTTATTATTTCTTGTATTCAGTTCAACTGTCTGCAACCATGCAGGTGTGTGAAGGCTGTTTGTTTATTGTCCAATAAAACAATAAAGACCTTCTTTCAGATTTTCAGATTTAAAATAATATTGCTTAAAATACTAAACTCAACCAGTGCAACCTTGGAAAACCTTCAAAACGTTGTGCAAACTTTTAGGGAATAACTTGTCTGATCTACACTGGACATGTTTTATATCCCACTGAGATCTTTAAGATGTTTTGAGGAAGGGCTTCACATTTAAGCCAAATGTCTCTGAAAGTTAAAAGAAGGCACACTAATGTCCTGGTGTTGTCCAAGTCATTTAAATCGTCTCTGGTGCAGTGAGCCACAGTTTTCATAAGAATTCAAGTTTCTTCATTGAAGAACACACTTTTCCTTATTGCTGTATTTTCTACGTCTTGCCTCCAGACCTCTCTCCAATCTCTCATCCTCCTCCAAAGCCCTGCACATTCAAAATACATTCAGTGCATGTGTATGTAGAATCTAATTTCTACAATTCACCATTCCAGTGCAACAAAACACTGTGACTAGACTCACCCTCTCTCTTTTGCATCCATGTCTCTGACTAGCTCGTCCCGCTTGTTGACCAGTGACACCAGTTCCTGTAGCAGTAGCTGTTCTCTGTGCTGCTGGGCCTGAGTTTTCTGCCAGTCTGATGGATGAAATATGGATATTAGTGATATGATGGTACAATGATGAAATACTGACTATTACAGCTGCAGCCACAGAGGAAATATGTAGGTAAAAGTTTAAAGCATTAATAGACTAATATATGAGCCAAGTTGATGTTCTTTCTTCTATTTTGTGGCTGTGTGTTTTTTTAATAATGTTTAATAAATATAGTGTAAAATACACAATAAATAATGGCAGAATTCAAAATTAACATTGGTATTAATTGGAACCTTCAACCTTTTCCAGTTTTTTTTCAGTTAATTCAATCTGAGGAATTAACATGACAAATGAAAATATGGAATGTGTAGAATACAGATGCACAATATATCGGTAGCATATAGGCTGATATTAGATAACTGAATAATGAACTGTTCATTATTTTTACATTTATATTACCTTTGCCACTCAAGTTAAGCTTTAAAAACACTACTTTAATAACTGTTATCTAGCAAATCTCAAAATGAATATCTTTTTTTTTTCAGTAACTCTTAGTTTAACGTTATATGGCTTACCTTCAATAGCCATCATGGATCTGAGCTCTCGGGTTAGCAGCTCAAATCTTCTTTCTAAATCCTGCTCTTCTTGCCTGCAAGTGTAACATCATGAATATTTATTGATGTGGCTGACAGTGTGCACTGATTGTGTCTTACATATCAGTACATACAGCAGCTCCAGATGGTCCTGTCTCCTGATCAGAGCATTCTTCTTGTTGACCAGAGTGAACCAGTCCTGAATCAGCTTCTCTTCTTCATCTTTATCACTTCCTGTTAAGCAGATAATGTGGTATATCATGCTGCATTTCAAGAGTTAACTTGAAATCAACTTCATTCTCTCCTTCCCTCTATATGAGTGTTTTTCTTACCCATCTCCATGATCTTTCGTAGTCTTTTCTCCACGACTGCAGCTCTGCTGTCTATGTGCTTCTGTTCGGTTTCCAGGGCCTGAAGTTCACTCAACACATACTGATTGGTGTCCTGCAGACACTGGCCAGGAAGTACCATAGGGACACATATATAAAACCAGACAGAGAGAGGAAAAGACAGAGGAAAGGAATGGAGATTGAGAGAAAGAGAGATGGATAGAGCCAGATACAGAGAATAAAAGACCAACATTGATAAAAGACACAAACAGACAATGATGCACAAAGATAATGGAGAGGAAAAGACAGGCTTGATTTAACTAAAAGGTTTATAAAACAAGGAAATTAAACATGGGATGGTAAGAGCTTGTGAGTCAAGGGCTGGATTCTCGAAATTCTTCTTAAGAATGAAGTAGTTTGTAAGAATGTTTCTGAAATTCTTGAAAAATTCTTCTCAGATATTTTCTTACCCTTTTCCCCTCTATTTTCTTTTTTTTTCTTAAGAGGAAAATGGCTTTGGTGTTATCTGACTGTATGCCGGGTCTAGGCAAAGATTCATTGATCAGCTTAATGGCTTCATGACAAACACCTGTCTGTCTTTTTGCACTGCTTGCAGAGTACTGTGATCATAATATTCATAATAATGTTGTACTGTTTAATATTTAAAATGACCCAATAAATACATTTAAACATCTTATCTTTGGGGATTTAAGACAAGTTTGAGGTTATGCTAACTTTAGAAAGTAATTTACAATGAATTTTCAGAACATTCTTTTCAGGAAATCAATTTAATATGTTTTATCTTTAGAACAATCTAAAGAAAAAAGGTAAGAACCATTTCTATGAAATGTTAAGAAATGTTTTTGGCAATACAAAATATTCATAACCTTATTCTTAAGTTAGAAAACAAGGAAAATATAGCAGTTTTATTCTTAAGAATGTTTTGTGAATCTGGCCCCAGAATTAGAGAATTATGACGATTACTGTAAACTCAGAAATATATTTTCTAAATACTTGACATGCAAATTGGCAAATTTTCTTTTAAAACCACAGGCTTTGAAGTTATCAAAAAATTACACTTGATAAAAGATGAAACACTTTAATTGTCTCAAATACTGAGGGCATACTGACCATTGTCTCACTCTCTGCTGATTTAACATCTTGGTTTGCTTCCTGAGGTTCTGCAAACACACATTAAATGGCAAAAAATAAGTGTAAATCAGAGCGTAAAATACCAAATCTTTCCAAATTCAATCATTTTTTAGATATTAGGAAGCTGTTTAGGAAGGTTACCAGTTTCAGCACTTTCTCTGGCAGCTGTTGAGCCATTAGTTCCTTCAGCTGTCAGTTCACCTTTATCTGACTGTCGGAGGTTAGTAGACTTTGGCTGCTCCTTTGAATCAGTCTCATCCATGGATTCGCTCTTTAGTCGCGACCGCCGTTTCTTCATCAGATCTGCATCTCGTATGTGCCCGAATCCTGATCTGGAAGCCGCTGCGTTTGGTCGTGGTGGGGCCACAGGAGTCTGCGCGCCTCCCTCTGTCTCCTTACTGCCCTTCTCTTCCACCTTTCCTGCACGTTTAGTCCGAGGTGGAGGAACAAGACCTCCGTTTGGCTTAGCCACGGTGTCACTTCCCTCCTCTCCCAGTGAGTCCTTGCTGTTACTCTCTCCTGACAGAGCTCCAGCCTGGAGTCTCTCTGCACAGAATTTGGCTGCTGCTTGTACATCCGACCCTTGGTTTGGACTGGCTACTGCATAGCTGGACTGACTGTTGTTCTGCTCTATCTGTAACACACTCAGCTCCTGCCCAGTGAAGTGTGCACGGATTTGGCACAAGTACGTCATGACAATCAAACGATCTGGCACAGAGAGAAGCACCATGTCTGAGGGCTCCAGCAGACGAGATATTCCCAGTGATGCGAAACCATCAAAAGCCTAAAAGAGAAGCACAAATGATGAGGTTTAGTTTATGGTTAAAGAATGTCTTTACGTGAAACATCTGCTTAAACCAAACTTACAGCTTTGTTGTTATGCTTTATGTTGTGAGGCTCCAATGCATCAAAGTCACTGAAAAACAACAACTAAGTCAATACACAATAACAAATATAAAAAGTAATTAAAAAGTATTTTTTTAATAATTAATTATAATTAATTAATTATTGTCATATTATGAACAATAAGCTATAAATGTCCAATATTGCAATTCTAAATTCCAAAATACTGAAATCAATTATTTTAAGTTTATTAAGGCATCACAACATTATATTGTAAAGTATGAACAATGTTCATTTTAATTTTATCATTATTTTTTTTTTACATTTTTGCTAAAATTATATTTAACAGTATATTTAAAATAGTCCCCCCCCCCAAATATTTTAGGTGAGTGATGGCAAAGGTAAATTAAACAAAAAAAGCAAATGAACATGCACAATTAAATGTCTAATATCAACA